GTGGGGAGGGGGAAAGTAAGGTGCAGCTTGGCCTCAGCAGCCTGTCATACTGACTGTATTCATCTGTCCACCACCCATGTGCCCTGACTTGCCTATCCTGTAGGCGGAGAAGGAGTGTTCTGCCCAATGGAGATCTTCAAATGTCCATCCTGTCTCTGTACAACTCTACTATGAGGCCCTGTGTCCTGCGTGCCGGGACTTCATGTCATTGCTGCTCTTCCCCACCTGGGCTTTGCTGGGTGATAATGTCATGAATGTCACTCTTGTGCCTTTTGGCAATGCTGTGGTGAGTGATCCAGCTCTGCCTGGGGTAGGGGTGGGTGACAAGGGTGGGGAGCTTGCCAAGAGCCTTCTGCCTTCCGCTTCACATCTTGGGGGTGGGGTGTATTTCAGGAGAAAGAAGTGAATGGGACCTGGGAGTTTACCTGTCAACATGGGGAGCTGGAGTGTGAACTCAACATGGTTCAGGTAAAGACTCTTCTGCCCCAAGCCTCTCCTGGAGGTGTTGTGTGACCGTGGGCAGTCCACTTAACCTCTGGGCTTTCTTTTGCTCTCCTGGTGCATTAGGGGGAGGCAAGGTGTGTGGTATTTCCCCAGGGAAAGAGGATTCTGGCTTTCTACCCCTCAGTCTTAGTCTCTGCTCCTACAGACCTGTGTGTTGTACCTCCTTGGGAAAGAGTTTCCTAATGCCTTTGCTGTGATCAACTGTATGATGTCAACTGCTGATCCAGAGACCTCATTAGAGCCGGTAAGTGCCACCTAGCTGCCCCTATGGAAGGCATTTTTATAGTATTAAGAATAATTAATATTTCTATAGGTGTTAGTTTCTAGAATGTTCCACATGATTGTTCTTGTGAGGAGAGTAGTGAAATTATGGTCACTGCTACTATTTAGAGGTAATGGTTGAGCAGTGGAAATCCCCATACAGACCAAATTACTTATCCTTAAAGTATGAAAGCAAGGACCTCATCCTTGGGGATTTACCTCCCTAGGTGCCCCACCTCCTGGATCCACTTCCACACTTCTTCCATTTGTGAGGTTGTGTTTTCTGTTATCTTAGATGGGTAGAGTATTAATGAATGGTCCATAAGTGAAGACAGGCACTTTCCTTACCTACCAGGCTAATTTGGGGGGCTTCCTGGAGAGTAGTATTAGCTCAAATCTCCTCCAGAGGCTTCTTCCAGTGAATGCAAGCTCAGTTGCAACCCCTCTGAAAGTGTCTTTGGGGACCCAAAGGTGGCAAGATTTCAGGAGAGGAACTGGAAGGTAGGGTAATAGTCCTTTAGAAGGGACCATGGCTCTTTGCCTTTCATTCTGTCCCCAGTGCTTAGCATGGTCCTTGGCACCTAGTCACTGCTTAACAAATGTCTGTTGACTGACAAATTGAGACTAGTCCAGGCAAGTGGTAATTATGAACAAATTTGTTGACTCTTTTTTAAATTAATTTATTTTATCAACAATCACTTCCATAAGCTCTTGAGTTTTAAATTTTTCTCCCCCTCCCTCCTTGCCTCCCTCCCCAAGACTGTGTGCAATCTGATATAGGCTATACATATACATTCCTATTAAACATATTTTCACATTAGTGATGTTGTAAGGACAAATTAGAACCAATAGGAAGAACTACAAGAAAGAGGAAACAAAACAAGACAGAGGAAAAAAGCAGCAAACAGTATGCTTCGATCTGCATTCAAACTCCACAGTTCTTTCTTTGGATGTGGATAGCATTTTCCATCATGGGATCTTTGGAGATGTCTTAGATCCCTGCATTACTGAGAAAGACTAAGTCTATTAATATTAGTCATCACACAAAGTGGCTGTTACTGTGTATAACATGCTCCTGGTTCTGCTCACTTCACTCAGCATCAGTCCATACAAGTCTTCCCAGGTTTTTCCGAAGTCTGCCTGCTGATTATTCCTTATAGCACAATAGTATTCCATCACATTCATATACCACAACTTGTTCAGCCACTCCCCAATTGATGGGCATCCTCTCAATTTCCAATTCTTTGCTACCACAAAAAGAGCTGCTATAAATATTTTTGTAGATGTGCGTCCTTTTCCCATTGGTATGATCTCTTTGGGATACAGCCCTAGAAGTGCTATTGCCGGGTCAAAGGGTATGCACATTTTTATAGCCCTTTGGGCATGGTTCCAAATTGCTCTCCAAAATGGTTGGATCATTTCACAACTCCACTCACAATGCATTAGTGTTCCAATTTTCCCACATCTTCTCCGACTTTTATCATTTTCCTGTTTTGTCATGTTGGCCAATCTGATAGGTGTGATGTGGCACCTCAGAGTTGTTTTGATTTGCATTTCTCTAATCAATAGTGATTTAGAGCATCAGTTGACTCTTGATGGATTCATCTTGTGGGTATTCCCTCTGCCCACTGCGGGGAAGGGAGGTGGTGTTCCTTCTATGTCTTCTCATCCCCTGGGGTTCTTGTCCATGACCTTTCATGGCTTCTCACTGAAGGATCCACCCCAAGGCATAGAGTCTTTGTAAATTTCATAGACAATAGTGCTACACTCACACTCTCCATCCTCATCCCATACTGTTGTTATATAACAGGCATACTACCTTTGCCAGTCCTATGTCTACTTCTCGGGAGACAGTCCTAACCTGACTGGTTTCTACATAGGCTGCGGCCTTCATCTGCTCACCATCCATCTCCCATCATCCTTTGAGTCACCTGCACTTACTACTCTTGGAGAGGGGAGGAGCTGCCTATGTTTTTCATCACTATAAGGAACTCTTGGTATGGAAATGACCTGTAGATTCCCAGTTGCTTTTGGCTTAGTTTTAGAAAGTTTCCTGAGAAAGTTTGGTGACCTGCCCAGGTCACACAGCACCAGAACCCAGGTCTCCCTGTATCTCAGATCAGCTCTGCTGAGTCACAATTCACCCAGAGAAAATGCTATTAAAAAGAAGGGCATTCTTTGGTGGCAGGGATGAATTCAAGTCGTCCACTATCTACGAATGGCAGCTATGTGCCTAGCATTGTGCTAGGCACTTGGGAATACAAAGATAAAATGAAAGCCAGACCCTTCACCGACATTTTCCTAGAGCAACTCATGAAGCAAACAAGAATTATGATGACTAAGAAGGGTAATAAAAACTCTCTTTTTTATTAATTTATTTTGATTTATCAACAATCACTTCCATATGCTTTTAAGTTTAAAATTGTTCTCCCCCTTCCTCCCCACCACCCTCGCCAAGACGACACACAATCTGATATAGGCTATACATATACATTCCTATTAAACGTATTTTCACATTAGTGATGTTGCAAGTAAGAACTGGAACCACTAGAAAGAGGAAACAAAACTCAACAGAAGAGAAAAAAAACAGCAAATAGTATGCTTTGATCTGCATTCAAATTCCATAGTTCTTTCTTTGGATGTGGATAGCATTTTCCATCACGAGGCCTTTGGAGATGTCTTAGATCCTTGTATTGCTAGGAAGGGTTAAGTTTATCAATATTAGTCATCACCCAATGTGGCTGAAAAACTCTCATTTTTGTAGTGTTTTACTTGACCAAGATCATTGTTCACAACAGCTCGGAGGGAGGTTGTGTAGAAATTTGTTGATGTGTCATTTTTTTTTTTAACTGAATCATCTTTTTTTTTTGGTCTTTTCTTTTTGGTTTTTTTTGGTGAGGCAGTTGGGGTTAAGTGATTTGTCCATGATCACACAGCTCATAAAGCATCAAGTGTCTGAGGCCAGATTTGAATTCAGGTCCTTCTAATCCCAGGGCCAGTGCTCTATTCACTGTGCCACCTAGCTGCCCTTTGAAACATCTTTTTTTTTTTACATTTTTATTTGAAGTTTTGAGTTCCAAATTCTATCCTTCCCTCCCTGCTCCCTAAGATGGTAAGCAATCATATATAGATAATATATGTGCAATTATGTAAGATATTTCTGTATTAGTCATTTTGTACAAAAAGACTAAAAGAAAAGGAAAAAATAAAAGTGAAAAATAGCACGCTTTGGTTTGTATTCAAACAACATCAGTTCTTTCTCTGGAGGCAGATAGTTCTTAGAGATTATCTCGGATTACTGTATTACTAAGAATAGATAAATCATTCACAGTTCTTCATTGAACAATATTGCTGTTAAATATTCTGCTGGTTCGGTTCATTTCATTATGTATCAGTTAGTGTAAGTCTTTCCAGGTTTTTCTGCAATCATCCTGCTTGTCATTTCTTATAGCAGCACAATAATATTCCATTACAATTATATACCACAGCTTGTTTAGCCATTCCTCAATTGATGGGCATCCCGTCATGAATCATCATTTCAATGAACAAAAATTTATCTTCCTTATCTCATACCTATAGTTTCCTTTATCCCAACTGGTAAAAACAACAATATTCCCCAATTGATAAATGGTCAAAGGACATGAACAGGCAATTTTTAGATGAAGAAATCAAAGCTATCTATAGGCATATGAAGAAGTGCTCTAAATCAATTCTGATTAGAGAAATGCAAATTAAAAAAACTCTGAGGTACAACCTCACACCTATCAGATTGGCTAATATGACAAAAAAAGGAAAATGATAAACATTGCAGAAGATGTGGAAGAATTGGGACATTAATGTATTGCTGGTGGAGATGTGAAGCGGTTCAAACATTCTGGAGAGCAATTTAGAACTATGCCCAAAGGGCATCTTTCATCTATCAATACCACTAGTAGGTTTGTATCCTAAAGGGATAGTAAAAAAGGGAAGAGGACCTATCTGTGCAAAAATATTTATAGCAGCCTTTTTCGTGGTGGCAAAATATTGGAAATTGAGGGGATGCCCATCAATTGGGGAATGGCTGAACAAGTTGTGGTATATGAATGTAATGGAATACTGTTGTGCTATAAGAAATGATGAACAGGCAGATTTGAGAAAATCCGGAAAAGACCTGTACAAACTGATGCACAGTGAAATAAGCAGAACCACGAAAACATATAAACAGTATCAGCAACATTGTGTGATGATCAATTATGACTGACTCAGCTCTTCTCAGCAACACAATGCTCCAAGGCAAGTACAAAGGACTCAGGAAGGAAAATGCTCTCCACATCCAGATAAAGAACCGATGGACTCTGCAGGCTGAAGCATATTTTTTTCACTTATTCTTTTTGGTGGTTTCTGTCCTTTTGATCTGTTTCTTCTTTCAAAACTTTTACCAATATGGAAATGTTTTACACAATACCACATGTATAACCTATATCAAATTGCCTATCATTTTTAGAAGAGGGGATAGGAGGGAGAAAAATTTTGATACTCAAAATCTTGCAAAAATGAATGCTAAAAATTGTCTTGACATGTAATTGGGAAAAAAATAAAATACTATTTAAAAAACCAACAACAGCGCTGGAACAAATATACATAGGTAAGGAAAAGAAATTCTTGCATTGGTCATGTCCAAAATATGTGTGTCTCTTTCTGCCTCTGGAGTCCATCCCCTCTCAATTAGGAGGTAGGCAGCATTCTTCTTCATCCTCAGTCCTCTGGAATCAGCAGATTGTTTTTATAGTTGGGGTAACAGAAGCTCAGAAAAAAGAAGGGATTTGTCCAAGGTCCCACAGCTAGTCAGAATCAGAAGGTAATGACAAAGTCCCATGAGCCTTCTGAAACTCTGTGGAAGCCAACGGGCTGTTGGGTAGTTTCCCCACATTCTACATACACACTTTTCAATCCAGAGCAATGACTTAGCTCAAGGAAGGTCAATGCTTCCTGAATTTCAGAGATAGTGGGCACATTTCAGAGATTTGGAGTCAGAGAAGGGGGTGGTGGCTAGAGGGAGGGGTGATACAATCCTGGCTTACCTTCTTCTGGTGCTCTCTTTTCTATGGGAGATGAAATTCACTCCAGTTGTAGGCTTAGGGGAAGAGGGGTGGGTTTGGAGATCCAAACTCACGCTGGTAACTGCTGAGAGAGGGTAAGGTAGAACCTGATGGAAAAGATTTGTCCCATTTTCAGGGAGAAGGCTTCCTGGGTTTTCAGCTCCCCTCTCCCTTTCCCCCACTGCTTCAGTGACAGAGATAAGGTTGACCCAGTGGCTCTGAGGGAAGAAAGGTGGGGTAATGGTGATGGGCTCAGGTTCCCCTCCAAATAATACCTCCTTCACCTCTTTGCACAGTGTCTGAAGATCTATGGCCCCAAAACTTCTGTGGATGAAGTCATGAAATGTGCAAGAGGACCTCAAGGCAAAGAGATGATGCATCAGAATGCCATGATGACAAATCATCTTTCCCCTCCACATACATACACCCCTTGGATTCTGGTTGAAGAAGTAAGAGCTGTACCCTATCCTCACCTCACCTACTGTCTTCCATTAACTTGGTCTAGCCTTCTCCCCCTGACCACTACTCCCCCCTCCCCCCCCCC